GGGGCCGTAGGCCCGGGATGGTGGCGCAGGGCCTCCCTGAGGGGAGGGGCGGCCGGGCTGCGCTGACGGCGCCGGGGCGGGAGGGCCCTTGGAGCGCGGCGGGACGTCTCCGCATCTCCGTGCGCGGTTCCGGGCTGTGTTGACCGACTTCTCCTTGTCCCTTCCAGGTGAACGTCCCGAAAACCCGTCGGACCTACTGCAAGAAATGCGGCAAGCACCAGCCGCACAAAGTCACCCAGTACAAGAAGGGGAAGGACTCGCTCTACGCACAGGGTAGAGATGGGGGCTCTGCAGGGGCTCTGGGGCACGGCCTGGGTGATGGTTGTGGGCCCCGAGCATGCAACTGTGGGACAAGGGGGGGATTGCTCCTGATGGTTTGTGTGGCTGCAGGCTGAGGTCTGCTGGGGTTTGGTAAGAGTGCCGGTTGTGTTTGTAGCACATCTCACGTTGTTGCCTAAACGGAGCATTTTCTTGTAGGAAAAAGACGCTACGATAGGAAGCAAAGTGGCTATGGGGGCCAGACAAAGCCCATCTTCCGTAAGAAGGTGAGTACTGCTCCTGGAAGGAGGACTTCAGAGTTCTTGGCAGTCCACATGCCCAGCTGAAGAGGGACGCTTCAGCCTCCTGCAGCTTTGGGGTGGGCCTGCGCTCGGGCCGTGTTATGGCAGCTCTGTGCTGGTCGTGCTGTCCAGGGAGAGTAAGTTCCCTATCCACATTTGCTCATCCATTTGCTGCCCCTGTCTCCTGTAGACGTGGGTTTTTTTTTCAGGAGTGATGTAGCGAGTGCTTGCAGAGCAGGGAGCCTTGATGCTGTAGGGGAGTGGGGTTTTGGTGGAAGTGATGCTTTTAATGAGTGTTTACCTCATTGCTTGCCAAAGTGAAAGGGAGACTGCTGCTTGCTTTCCTTACATTCTGGAAGTGGTAGCACTTCTTCACTGAAACTTTCTGGCAGGTTTGCAAGGCTCCCTGCATAGTGAGGCTGTCTTTGCTGACAAGGGTACGATAGAAGTGAAGTGTGCACAACTCCTCAGGGTCCCGCAGAACACGATACTGTGTTCTTGCAGGCTGCTGTCTCCGGGGAAATCCAGGAGAAATCGCTGAGCCAGTAAACGGGAGCTGCTGCGTTAGGGCTTTCCCAGGAGTCTCAGAGCAGCAGTGGAAAGGCAGCAGTGCGTTCTGTTACAGATGAGTTGCAGAACCCTGCTGCCGTCGTCCTTCAACGTGTACCTGGGACTGTAGCCTTGCAGCACGCTTTCCCTCTGCGTACCTCCTGCCAAGGAGTTGGGGCAAAGGTGAAATCTGTGTTATTTACAGTACAGAGAAGCACAACCTGATGGGCTGATTGGTTACAGTTTTTGTGTGAACTGCTTAGTTCTTGTGGAGCTACTTGGCTCGTTGCTGGGAAGCTTTGGTGTTGTGGAGAGGTTCCAGCAAGAAGAAATGAACGAGACAGCAGTTTTTCAAGGGACTTTCTGCCAGGAAGTGAGGACGCCTTGCAGAAAACTCTTGTGCAAGCAGGGTAGTGCTCTCACAGTTTGGTGCTCTTGACCCGTACGTTCCCATCCTCACTTGTTTCTTCCCAGTCAGCATTACATGAATGATTGGCTGACGTGTGTATCTGGTGCTTATGGCTCTGTCCAGCTGCTGCAGTGACCTTGCAGCTTTGGATTCTTCCCTCTGTAGTCTTGATTTTCATCTGACTTCTCAGTAGCTGCAGGTCAGCTGTGTTGGTAGCCTTTTTCTTTATGCTTTGAGAACGAGCTGCTGAATCTTGAGGAGTGCAGATAACAGACTTTGCCTGCTTGTGAGTGCTTTGTTCATTGATGCGCTCTGCTCCTCTCATCACCAGGCTAAGACCACTAAGAAGATTGTGCTGAGGCTGGAGTGCGTGGAGCCCAACTGCAGGTCCAAGAGGATGTTGGCAATCAAGAGGTGCAAGCACTTTGAACTGGGAGGAGACAAGAAGAGAAAGGTATGATTGTGCACGGAGTGGCTGAGGAAGGGTGGCAGCATTGAGTGGTGAATAAACTTGCTCTGTCTTTTCCTTTTTACAGGGCCAGGTGATCCAGTTCTAAGCTCTATCCTACTCCTTGCTCTGGACCATATTAAAGTGTTTGGAAGTGATTGGTTGCTTGGTCTTGTGTATTTTCTGTTGGTGGGGTGGGACTTGCAAGTACATCAACCTAACAGGAAGGTGTTGCTTGCAAAGCTGGTAAGGGAGTGAACAGTTTGAAGGCTTTTGGGAAAAACAGAACCTGCTGATGTCTGGAATCTCTTCACTGTGTCACCCAAGAGGTGCTTTAGAGCATACCTCTTGCAAAGCTGGTAAGGGAGTGAACAGTTTGAAGGCTTCTGGGGAAAAACAAAACCTGCTGATGTCTGGAATGTCTTCACTGTGTCACCCAAGAGGTGCTTTAGAGCATACATGGAGCTTGAAGCTTTGGTGGATTTTTGCACCAGTGGCTTCTGTGCGTGCGTGTTGTGCTGGTGCTTTTCTCCAGACTTAGCTGGAGTGCTGGACTGTGACCTGTGTGCAGTGGCTGTAACAGAGCTGCGTGCCTGTGGTTCCCCCAGCTGTGTGCTGTCACACTGACACTGATGTGTGACAGGCCATAGCTGCCTGCCCCTGTGTGTGACTGCTGCTGGCACCTCTCAGAATTTTCCTTAAAAAAAAATGTCCAAGCACAGCACTGAAGTTTAAAGCGAGCAATGGGCAACCACTGAAGGAGTGATACGTTACAGGACGGCTGACGCTGGGGGCTTGGGATCGTGCACTGGAGGCAGCAGCACCCTGTGAATAGGAAGTCCACTGTCAGCAGTTGAATGTGGAGCATTCTCTAAAGAGTAACTTTCTCGTAGTGGAAACAGAGCTGGAAGATGGAGAGATGCCTCTTCCTAGGGACTGAGAATGCTCAGCTACCAAACGGTGGCAGAACTTGTATTTTTGCTTATTCAGTCCTGGCTGATGTCATTGGTTGTATCAGACTCCTGTTGCTTAAGCTGTCAGCATCAGTGGCTTTGGCCTCTGCCTGAGCTGGACTGCACAGCTGCATTGTAACACTGACAAGTTTCACAGGAACTTAGTGGCTGGAACAACCTGGCCTGTTTTCTAAACCCCAATTTCATGTCATACACCATGCTGTACTTCTGTACAGTGGAATGAAGTAAAAGCTTAGCCTTTTTAAGGGACGCTTTAATCAAAGTGCTTAATCACAGAAAGAAGAACACATCAAGATACCCTGATTGTGCAGTAGTCAGAAGAGAATGTACTTGTACACGGTGGCTGCATAAGTGATTTAAGTAGCCACCTCCTGTCATGGAAGGACCTGTGTTACTTGACCTAAAGGCTACTGCCAGCAGTGGGAAGCAAGCACAGGTTATTTGGAAAGCAGCTCACCGACGAAGGGGAGCCCAGTGGTCCCAGAAAGGGGGGACACTGTCACCTAAAGGGAAGTGACAGCCATTGGTAAGAGGAAGGCTCCTGGGGTAGGGAGAAGCCCTCAAAAGCTGACTCCTAAGGTGTGATGTGTAATTGCTTTTATACTAAGCAAGCAGCTGCTAAGAAATGCAGTGATTTAGGCCAGTCCCTGAGTTCTCAGAAGGTGAAAGTAGATGTCCATGCTTTGAGGAATAGCAGGAGCAGCTTTTCTTGTTGGACTGTGCTCCCCAGGCTGGCAAAGCAAGAGCAAGGCAGCCAGGGTGCATTTCCCTGTTGTCCCTGAAATGCTCAGAGAGCTGTAAGATGCTGCATGCATCCTTAGCATTTCTTTGGTAGTGGCAGGAGGCATTAACATGAGTTGCTGCCCTGTGGGGGCCCTTACAGCCCCTGGGAGAAGGAGCTAGGTGAGATGACGGAAAGGGTAAATGGAAGAGAAGCAGCACCCCTTTCTCTGCCATCTCTTGGCGATGGAGTGATGGGTATTTGTAACATTAGGTTCAGAGTCCACATAGAAGCAGTTGAGTAGTGAATACCTGAAGAGAGCAAAGGCACCTGCTTGGAGGAAGGAGACAAGACTCCTTGTGACAAACGCGGACAGCGTCTGAGGCTCACAAAATGATTGTCCTTGTGCCTCCTACAGTGCCGTTACTTTCACCAGCACCGTGCCTGTTGGGTTCACCTCCACGTTCAGGGAGGAGACCCAGCTGTAAACTCCCAAGTCCCTGCTGGCTGGCAGGACCTGCCGGACGGAGCACGCTGGGTTGCAGGCCAGCCCATTGCCGAGGAACGCGAGGGAGAAGGTGAAGTTCCGGGGTCCCCCAATCTCCTGCTGGTTCAGCACCGCCACAGCGTGGGCTTGGCCAGACAGGGGCCGCTCCCACAGCTCAAAGTTCTTGTCCTGCCAAGGAGAAAATAAACCTGAGGTGTACGTTAGGGGATGCAGAACTGATGATCTTCATGCCTGTATGTTGAAGCCCCTGTTCCCAAACCCTGAGCACACTTGTGTCCCCTTTTGGAGGGGGCTGGCTGCCCGTGTCCCACACCATGCCCCCAGCCTGGTCCTGCCGTACCTTGGTGATTCGGTATCCTTGCTTGCCCAGCGGATCCTGGTTGATGGCAATCACCTCTTTGTTCTGGAGCAGCCACTTGGCCTCGGGACTGATGTGCCGCAGGTCATTGGACATGAAGAGGGGAGCTGCCATAATAGCCCACATTGCCATCTGGGTCACTGCCTGGTCCCAGCTCAGCCCAAAGTTTCCAATCACCAGCTGTGACACAAAAACAAAAGTGCCCAGTAACGCTGCGTGCCAAGGAGAAATGGCCAGCAACCGGAGCACTGGTAAATGACAGGATGTTGAGGGTGGGACCCCTATTTTGGGACTGGTTAGATGGGCTGAGTGCCAGGAGCAGGACCAGCTGGTTGGGAAAGGCAAGGCATGACTAGAGCAGCAATTTAGGATAAGCCACTGATGGAGGTAAAGGATCCTTGACTGGGTAGACCGTGTTTAAGAATCTGCTTTTGGATGCAGCTATTCCTTTCTTGCAATGCTGGCACCCAGCATGGCACTGGGGTTTTCTGTCTGGTGGGAGATGAGCACTTTGGACACTGTGTCCCACTGCCACACTTGTGTTCTGAACTGGCGCTGCCTGTAGAGGCTGCATTACACAGAGACAGCGCTTACTCGTTACTGTATGTAGATGTAGTTCTCTTTTCCAGCCAGAGATCATCTCACCAAATTCCTGCTCCTAGGGACCTGCCAGAGCCCTTCTCCTCAGTGTTTCTCCCCTGATTCTCTCCCTCCCCATCCCTCTCAGCCTACAGCCAAGGAAAGGACTTTTCGCTGGTTCTGCAGGGGAGGTGGGCGTTGCTTTACTTACCATGTCAGGGTCATTCCAGCCCCCTGGCCCAGCTACCTTCACAATGCTGTCCTGGTGAAGTGCTGTCCAGTCCAAGATACTCTTGATGCTGCTCCAGGAATCATAGACATCAAAAAAGTTCCTCCAGTGATTGCAGTACTGTTTGATCTCCGTGTAATTGGGCTGCCAAAACAATGAGTGTGATTAGCCAGAGAGCCTGGGTGTACAAAAACAAGACTACACAAGGCTAGACTGGATCAGGGATAATTTGGGGAAATATGGTGACACCTTCCATCACCAGCTATCTACGATGATCTAGTGCTTGTTGGTTCCCTAGGACACCTTGTGTCCACTAACTCCATGTCCGTGCTCCATACAACGCTATTGCTTTCCTTGAGAACAACTGTGGCCACCTAGCTCTGTTAGAAAATTCCTTTGAGCACTATTTTACTGAAGGTGTGATGAGGTCACTGGGATTAAACTGTGACATCCCATAATTATTGCCATTTCCGAGGTTTACACCCTTTGGTGACTAACACATTTAACTCCCAGTGGGAGGGAATAGCAGCATCCCATCACGGTGGCACCGGGGAAGCCAGCTATGGGTAGAGAGTGGCACATGGGTCATGGACCCTGGTGGCCAAAATCTGTCTGTAAACAACGTGGAGAATTCCTATTAAATGGGCTGTCCAAAAGTCTCTCTCCTGGTCCCTAGAGGTGACCTGAGGCTGAGTCTGCAGCACTCTGCATCCAAGAGGAACATCACCAAACTGTCCACTAGCTGTGTGTCTGCATTGCCAGTGCTTTGTTGCTCGGTTCCCTGGAGACAGAAAGCAGACAGATGCTGCCGAGGTTTTTGGCATGCTCCAGCTGGACCGCTTCAGGATCCTACTGAATTCTTTTCAGCAGAGTAACGACTCGCCTCAGGGATACTTCAGGGCTCTACAGGAAAAAGTGGCTTTCCTCCACCTTACAGTCTTTTTCTCCATCAGACCAGAGAGCAGCAAGTTTCTCAGGAGGCTGTTTTGCAACCTTAATGCTTTTCTGTTCTTCCCACTTTCAGCCCCAGGATAAGCCCTGAGAAACATCTCTTACCTGCTGCACAGGCCTCAGGTAAAAAGGCCACTCACAGGAGTACACAATGCTCCTTCCAGTCTTGTTCAGGGCCAGAGACATGCGCCTGTAACCTAAGGGAAAAGGACAGACAGAGGTTACACAATCTCCCTGGTTGAACAGAGGAACTAATCCAATGTCACAGGTCCAGGTTTCAGTTCAACTCTTGCAAAACCAAGGCTGAAGCCGTTATCACGGCTGAAACGCCACAGGGAGGACAGGGGAGTTTGTAGTCTGCAGTCTCCCGCCTCCTAAGAACAGGTGAGCTTCTCTGCAGCTTTTCTACAGGAGACATCGGTGGGCTTACTGCTCTGAGACTGCTGATCAGTTTGTACATACAGCCATGGGAAGAGGCTGCGGGTTTGCTGTGTGGCATTTCTTCCTCTGGATATCCGAGAAATACAAATTGGTATCTATCAAGCTGCTGGGTAATGTTGCAGGAGTATGTTTTTAGAAGGCATTTGCACCATATGGATCAGGAATGCAAAAGCACTAGATTTTTTTCCTGTCCCTGTCCCCAGACAGCCCTGTTAAGTCCCTTTTAATCAGCGGAGAGGGAATGAAAAGTTGGCTCTCCCCCTGGAACTGCTTCAATACAACTGGGTTGCATCTGGGTTACACGCATAATCCAATCAGAGCTGTCACTTAGGGTGCTGAGCTGTGCTCCTGGCTGCAGCAGCTGGCATGTGCCCCACCAACGGGC